CATGCAACCAAAAGCATTACAACATCACTATCGAATTAAAAAATATTCCCTTTCGGAAACCTGATCTTGCGCTACGGAATTACTTGGCATTTTCCTTCATTTCGTTTTTCACTTTTAATTTATTACCAAATACAGTTGCGAAAACTTCATCAGTCACTGCCTCAGAAATTTCTATCATGACTTACATTTCTATCTTGACAGTTGCACTGTATTTTTTTTCGTTTTTTTTTTTATTTTAGAACACTGGCGATATCGTAGATATGCCATTTATTCAAATTACTTCATGCAGGATAGATAACGGAGCACATCAGTAATCCATAAAGCATGAATGTAAATCTAAGTAGATTTACTTATGTTCTTTCAAAGGAATTAAAGTACTCGAATATTGAAATAATGGAAGAATTTTATTTTAATTCAGATAGAGTCGAGCATCAAGCTGTCAAAGAAAGTTTGTGATATTAGCCATTTCAGCATTTATTTCGGTCTGCCTGATGGAGTACATAGAAACTGCTAAGTTATAACGGTACCAGATAAAATTGCTATGACTTCTTTTACATTGAATGTACGATGTTTGAAAGATCTTGTAACAAAGCTCAATTCGTTTTAATCAAATTAATTATAACAATTTAAAAAGAATGTACTGAAGAACCCCTGCAATAAGATGATAAAAGCTAAATAAGTAACTTTGACCAACGAAGACGATAGCTTTATTTATACCTGGTATTAACTGAGTCGTTGATTTCATAAATTTTTTTCATAAAAATTTAAATTTTAAAATTTTTCTGATTTACCTTTTAAAATCATGTGGTATGTCTGTATTATTATGTCATCAGTTCAGATTTGCATATGCTGCTTTGCAGTTTCTTAAATTAATTCACATCAAAAATTTATTGTCAGAAGTTCACACTCTGATAAAAAACATTCGTTAAAACAGCATTTCAAGCTATACGCCTATTCCAGCTTATGCTGATCGATTGTTTGCTCTTCATAACTTTATTTTACTATAGAGTAATACGAAGTACAACTTAGTTGTGATCTTTACTATGGTGCATTCGTCAACTCTTCTGTTATATCCATGGCAATTAATTGGCACACTTAATTTTAAAATACATATTTGTATAAAAAAAAGAGCAGAAAAGAGTGCGAAAAAGTGGCGCCATACTTGGAGAAGAGGACATATTGGGCGCCTATGTTTGAACACTTTTTTTTTTCATTAATTTTTATTAAGACAATTGAAAAAAAAGTCACTTACTTCTTTGTGCTCTGCAAAGAGCGTCAGAATATGTTTATAAAAAATACACTATCATCAATCACTAAACCATTGCGGTAAAGTGATTTGAATACAAGACAGGTATTAATTGCTCAATATATTGATTACGCAGTATATCATCATTTATATCCTGAAAGGCTGAAAGTTACTATGACCCCAATTCACATTGTTCCTGTACCAGAAATTCCTGGAGTTTTTTCAACAGCAGCTGATGATGAATCGAAAATTGAAACCGTGATAGAACTAACAAACAGTTCCAGAGCAAAGGATTATGCTTCCCAACAAAAAGTCTATTAATAGTTGTCGATAAAGTTTTGAAAAGCTAAAATTATTAATTTCGATGATTTTTATTGTTTTTCACAGTCTTTTTGATATCTGTAAGCACATGATTTCCTCGATGATTTTTTTCATAGATTTCTTAAGGTCCTTGTAAATTAATTATGCAACCAGAATGAAAAAAGGTTATGAAGATATTTTGGTTTCTTCAGTTCTTCAGTAGTGCTATATATCCAATCTCTTAACATTCTGGTTTTTTTTTTCTTTGTTCTAGAGGCGAAAAAAAAAGTTGTTTTCGGCAAAGAATGATATGCTCCACAAATTTCATTGGCCAAAATTTGCGGAATTCATAACGGCTTGAGAAGTGGCAGAGTAATTTTGCCTTCATTCTTGCACACAAAGTAAGACTGAAACTAAAATTATCAAATCTGGTCACTTATAAGATGGCCAATAGTCTATTTTTTTTGCTAATCAAATGGAATGTAAAATCCGCAATTTCGCACAGGTTTCGCGGGATTGTTTACATGATCAATTTTATTATCAGAAAGCATTATTGTAAACAAAAGTTCCAAAATTAAGTGACATCACAATTACAATCAACAACAACAGTAAAATTAAAGCTAATTATTCCTGTTATATTTTGGTGAAATCTGTTAGAAAACTTGGAACTTTTTAATATTTTGTCAAAATTTTCTCGCACAGTCAGTTTTTCTATAATGCATATATAATACGAATCGCAAAGATTTTTGGGTAAAGAACAGTTCGAGAATACAACTAAAACTTTAGGGAAAATGTTTAAAATTAATTGAAAATAGAAATAATTTGAAAGGAAAAATTACAGTTTCGAAGTCAAATAATTTAAAGTAAAACTATTCATACAACTCAAAGTAGTCAATTCTATTAATACTTATTTGATCACATGGATGGATATATTTATCAAAATGGTTAAAACGAAATATGCCTATGAGTAAGTAATAAATTTCCATCTGTTTTACTGATTTGACAGATCTGATTGCCAACTATCAATGATTACAGATTACCAGTGATTTATCATCGAAACATTACATTATAACAGCAACCCGTAGGAATAATTCAAGTTTACAGTAAAAACAATGCTGAGCAAAAGTTTTCGCTTTTTTTTTCAATGAAAGTTATTTCGAAAGTTATAGTGGAATCAAATTTCAATTGCAAATCAAAATTCTAAAAATTGTTATCGAATTAACAGCCTGGCAGTGCTACAATTTACTGCTAAGTGAGAAAGATGACAAAGGGAAAAACTAAGAGTAATTGGAATAAACAGTAATCCGTGTAATAATCCAATGACCATTGTAAGCCAAATTGTCTTAAAAAATGTTAAAATGATGTATGCATTGACCGTATAGAGAACTGATACACCAGCGATTGTAGATGCTGCACCCTGGAATTTAAAGTTTTAGAACTATGATCTAAAGAAAATACAGCCTATACTTATGTAGTTATATCTATTCACAATGGATATTTTCTTATGACCCATTAGATTGAATAGGAATTAAAAACCTGAAAAATCGGCCATCCGAGGGATTCCAGAGCGTGAGTAACTCGTTCTTTTGATGAGCCAGTTGCCGTAACAAACGCATATGTGATATGAGATGATAAATCAACAGCGAAACCAATACTCATTATGATAGAAATCATTGATACAGCATCCAAATTAACACCCCAAAATGTCATGTAACCAAATATACCCGTGTTAATTGATATTATAGAAACGATTATTAGAATACCTGAAGGTGGCTCATATCTGTACACAGGAAAACCGATCATCGGTTCAGCAAATGAAACATACGAATTTTCGTAATTGATTTCTTTTTAAATTTAGGAAAAAAATTTTCAACTTCATAATTTGCAAATAATAAGATGCTGAATTTTAGTTCAACTGATTTAAAAGGGTTAAAACCTACATGGAGCCAGACTAGGTACCAATATGACAGCGACAGTCGCCATACAAATCAGTGATATAATGATACTGCGAACAATTGCTGGGACAATAATAATGTACTGATCAGCAAATGGAAATGTTTCATGAAATATTTCAATTTTAAAAGGCTGCCGATCAGCTATTTCGCGTAATTTCTGGGCGGCATTTTTGTGCTGGTTTGCGCCAACAGTGTTTTGCATTGCTATCTGCAAATTCATTACATCGACAAAAAACTGTTAAAATTGTCAAATTTTTAAAATTCCAATTTTAGCAAATAATAGTAATAAAATAAAATTGAAACTAAAATTACCAATATCTCTCTCTCTCTTATTTCTCGTGAAAACAAGAGAAATTTTAAAACTTTTAAATGAACCTGAAACCGAAATGCTTGGAAAGTGCCGTTTTCGTTAAAGCGTATATCTGTTGCCCACTGATTACTTCCGCCAGTATACTTTAACCAACTTAACAATTTTGTATTCCAAATTCTAAAAATCAGTAGCACTGCAACAAGTGTTTCAAACTTTTATTTCGAAATGTTTTTAAAATTTTAAATACTGAACTGAATTTCAAAGAAAACGATGGCTTTTTTCTGTGTTGCAGGAATGATTGATAGACTTCTTTATGTGCGAAATTGCAAAATTTCAATTTCTGGAAGTAATGCAAGGGGTCAAACGAACCAAACTTTGAAAATTATAGTTGAGTGTTATCAAACAAACCAACCGTTCCGTATTTTCCAATTCAGCGTTGATTTCATCAAGATAATTTAAATACTCAAGAAAGAAAAAAATTGTCCCATCTCTTCCCAATGTGTATTCCGTATTCTCAAATGCTTGTACTACGGCCATCATTTTTTCCCTAAAAAAAATTTCTATCACTTTATATTTTTTCATTACTTAAGCTTCAAAAGATTGCTAAATCATGCTTAGGGAAAATTAAATCGATTATTCTAAATATATTCCCAAACAATTTTTGCCGGAAATTCCTATAAGTAAAAAAAAATGATGAAAAAAATTCGTTAAAAAAATTCATATCTGACGTGATGAGTGATTTCCAAAAGGTATGATATACGCAGTTAACGGGAGTCACTGATCGGAATCAGTACAGATTACTAGAGATGTATAGTCTACTTTAGTTGTACTTTCAACTCTCGTAGGGAAATAAATGACCTTGATGATTCACTTATAATTTTTAAAAGTACCTCTGAATAGGATCAGTAAGATTTGGAGGGTGTAGCACGGCAACATGAAGTTGAGTACCTCGTACCCAAAAATTTTTCAAATCTGCGAAATAATGAGAGGTATAATGATCGTTTGTAACCAAATTTTCCGGTTCCAATCCCTCCTATAATTTCCAAATTCAGTAAATTTTTTCTTTTTTTTTTTAAATGTTTACAACAGAAAATTTATAGTAAATATTTCGGGGAAATTCCAAGAAAACTTTAAAATATTACCGAAAAATTGAAGCATCCGACCATAGCACCACCAATATATATGCTATAGAAGATGTAAGTTAAAATAGCACATTCTTTACGCAATATAAACTGAGCATAAATATGACCGAAGAAGTACTGTGTCCGAGTATTCTCTTTCTTCCCGATCGGTTGAGTTTTCAAGTGGGGTACTGCCGTGATAAACAGTCCTGAAAGCTACACGCAAAACACCTTAATAATTTCCATTTGAGTATATAGAGAATGTAATTCATGGCAACTTCAGCAGTGGATCAAATCTACACCGAAGATCGAAAGCTAGTTCTAAAGCGAGTTTAGGTGGATTTCGAACATGGTGTAGACCACTTTACGACTAGTAGTTTGCAGTCAAGCATCGTTTTAGCACTTTTACAACAACATGAAATATTTGTTATCTAATGAAAACTGACTATAGTAATAAACAAGAACACGTCACCTTCAGTGATAAAATTGTTATCAACATCAACCATTTCTGTTGGTTTTTGCTTACATAGGTCATCGCCAGCAATGATCAAATTATGAATTTTAATGGCAGTTTTCAAAGAGCTACCATTTGACTGAGTGCTGTTACCAGAGTGGTATGATATATCAGATCCACTAAAACGAGTTGGTAAGAGATTCCAGATATAATCGTGGAGGCCAACAATAATGTCAAATAGAGAAGTGACACCTGTTAGTTGACGAACATTGCAAACTATCATCACAATCATTTCTTGAATTACAAAATCGAGCACTATTCATTTTCTTTTTGGCACATTGTTCGCCAACTTTATAGAAGAGAAGGCAGTGACGTTGATTCTTTTCCACAGCACCCATTATGGCAAGAAATGCCATAAAAAACGTGAACTAAATTTTCAATTTTAATTTAACGTCAAAATGTTCGATTTAAATTTCCTCACTGTAAAGCATAAGATTTAGTAAACAGAAATTTAGGAATTAAAAAAGTGGAACTAATTTCAATTAAGTTAGCTCCAACAAATCAATAACCTGATACAAATAGCAAAAGATGAATGTAATACAGGCATAGCTGCAGAAGAGTTGAATGCCCGGAAGTTCGCTAATGCAACCTACAGCAAACGATATGATATCAGTGATATTTGTGATAGATATAGTAACCCCAGCATGAGCCATCATATCACGCATTCTGAAAGTAAAATTCCTACTTTTACTCTTTTGTATTTTCACTCTTTACTGTTTCTCTAATGTGACTAGGTTCTTTAGTAAGAGCAAACAGCTGAATACATGCAAAAATGTAAAACTAGTTTAACCTTTTTGATACAGTATCCGTCTGACTTGTTTGATTCCAGCAAGCATTCATTACAAACATGTCATCCACTCCAATTGCTATAATTTATTCATTTAGGACTTCTTTAAACTGATGTTAAACTGATGAACAAAAAATTGTTAAACCAATGCTCGATATTGTATTACTTGAGATGCACTACACAGAATGATGCAATACAAAGAATTTATAAATCCAATATAAAATTATGCTTTTTTTGTCAGATTAAATTTATGAAGTCAGTTCACAAAGTAAAAGTTAGGTGAATTCGTTTGCTAACTTTGGAACTAATTCAATTCTTCTCACACTTTTTTCACTGATAATAAAAATGAATCCGTATCGATTGCTAACCGATGATGAGAAATGGTATAATTGTGTTGATTACATTGTACGGTATGCCTACTATCAGTGCAAGTCCAAAACCACTACATATTGCCAATAATGTTGTGATAAGACCTAAAACACATTCGCAAACTAATTTTTAGACTAAATTAATTTCAATCAGACAGAGATTTTTGCAAAAAAATTGTTGAAATACAATTTTACGAATATTAGTTTCCTAAATATACTGGTAGGTTGTTTGACTTCCAAGATGTGCAGCAAATATCAAAATACCTGCACATGCAACATATGGCTTGCTGCGAACCCAATCAATGCCTGTTCTTGGATGTTGCTTGAGAACGTATGAAAATATTATCGCATAAATGGAAAGTAATGAAAAGCTGGTAAGAAAATTCCACGTAAAGTCTTTCGCATTCTCAGCTATACCATCCTAAAACTAGACAATGGTTTTCCAAAAAACAAATTTTAATATGAACTTCATCCAGTTGATTGATTTAAAGATGCACTCCATGTAAATGAGTGACTGATTTACCTGCAATGACTGATAATGTGAGAATGAAAGTGAAATAATATCACTTTTGTAAATATGCAATAAATAATGCTCAACAGCATATGAGAATGCTGTTGAGTAACGGCGAACAACATGAGGTTCTTGCTTCAGGAAATAAAAGAGTTGCGTCAGTTTTGCTGCTTTTACAGTACCATTCGAGTCGTTTAAGCTTACATCGCTTAGCAATGTCCCCAAATAAACGGGTGTATCCTGAAATTTGATTTCTTTACTCATCAGAAGTTGAAATTTTCAAAAATCTTTTTTAATCCTAAAACAAATTTAATTGAAACTAATTGCATTCAGTGTAACTCATTTTTTCTTTCTTATCAAAATCGCATTCCCTATTTTTAAAGGAAACATGAATGTTTCACTCAAACTAAAATTAACCTTATGACAAGCTTACCTTACTGCCAGCTCGAGGATATGTTAATTCTACAAAATTGCCAACTTTCAGCCGTTCTTGTAACATCGAAATATGTTCATTTGCTCCACATACCCACTCATAGCTCAGACACAAATCCTAAATACATTGAATATAGGCAGACTGATTGGTCAACCGATGGTCTGTTGACCAGTTAGTTCATAGATTAGCTTGTGGGTTGGTCAGTCATGACTGATTTAGGGCAAATACTGAGTATGAATTCCAATTTCCGTATATAAAAAGGTGCGAGTTTATCTGTTATCATCATTGTTATCATAGCAGCAAATGTACTAACCTGATATGTAAGATTATATTTGCCATCAGCAGTTGGTATGCTAATATTGAACATAACCCATTGATTCAACTCTTGTATTTCATCTAATATTTCCTTTCTCAACAAATTTCCGCCATCTTTGGCTTTTACCAATACATTTATAAACTGCTTCATTTCAAACGATTTACCCGGTAAAAATTTGTTTTCGTTTAGTGGCCACAACGATGCGAACGTGTCAAATTCTCGATGCCATCTACAAGTAGTAAACTGTCCTCCCCATTTTAGATTTGGTCATTTCTAAGAAATGGAACCCACCTAAAGATTAGACGCATAATTGTGGTCGTGGATTTTATACTGTCAGTCCAAGGTTTTCCCATTATAAGAAGGTAGAATTTCGTCATCGAAATCAAACAGTGATCATGTGAGAGATTTGGGTAGACTAAAAGTCGGTTTGGTCCCATTCCAATTACCCGGTTACAGACATTCCGAGCTCAATTAATAACACTGAATTTTGTATGATAGCAGAACATTTTCCGGCCAAACAACAGATACTGAACCATTTGCCCTGGCCAGTTCCAGAATGCCTTTTATTTCATTAATTAGGATTGAAAGTGAAACTTAGTGCTCTTTATGCTTCATATCATCTCTCTATCAAATTCAAAAGGATAGAAGACTATGCAGTAGATTAAGTTTAATGTGCCATGAAAAATGAATTCAAAATGATAATAATAGAGGTATATGCAAGAATCCTAATATTTTCACCTGGCATATGCCGGAGTGAAAACATAAAAGGGATCATCAACATTTAAAGCAGTAAGACGGCAAAAACCAAGTGATAAGAGTGGTGTTACGATCAGTGGATACATGACTAGGAACCATCGCCACTGGTAACCAAATTCACCGTACCATTGAAAAAACCGACGAAATCGAGGTTCCACTACTCTTATGCACATCTGTAAATGGTATTCGCAAGATAAAATATTTTGGGATATTCCTTTTTTCTTTTGATGGGTGCAGATTTCTTCATCAGCACTGATTCCGGTTTAATATGAAATGATGTATCTTTGGAATCGTCAGCCTCCAGTAAGCAATGGTACTAGTACTTTTTTTGTATCACAGCTATGCTCAAGGCTCTTAATAAGAATAAATCCTAAAAATATGCAAACTGATAATGAACTATTAGCAAACTGTATAGCTTGATATAATGTCCAGAATTACGTCTATTCGATTACGATCCTTTATTAAAAGGAAAATGAAAAGTTTCTAAAACTAATAAAGTTCAATAAAATGAGATAAGAGATTTTCCCAACAATTAGTATTAAGAAAGCTTAAAATAATTAAAAAAAAATGTCAATTTTTTTAACTTCTTTAATTTAATTTTAGAATAATAAGAACGATCAGTTAATGCTATTCAAGTCTTTCACAGTGATAAGATGAACAAAAACTTGGAAATTGGTAGTTAGTTTATGGTAAAAAGCAGAAAATAATGCAATAAGTAAGAAGTTCCATAATATTTTTAAACTCTTTTCGATAACAACTAAAACCCAGTAAATCTCGGTTTTTTTATTCTAAATTTTATGAATAAATCAATCTGAGATGGTCTGTATCAAAAGGCTGTCAGTAATTATAATTCATATCTTTCAGAAGTGATTAATTTCGAATGATGACTTTTTAATCGATGAGGGACATTTATAAGGACTATCTACATTCCCAGTAAAAATTGGGCGGAAGATTTTCATTTTCGTCATTGATCACTGGATATGTCAGACATAAATCTGCGAATTGAACGAAACATGTGAATTGTTAAGTATTGAAAATTCTTTACATTAAGTGAACTTTCTTTGGGATAGCAGTAACTGAGAAGTTCAATAAATAAAATAATATTTCTCTTAGAAGACATCATATGAGTTGAGTGATTAATTCCGCGCTATACAAGCTAGCACCCTAGCCAAGAAGTGGATTTAATTGAGCCTCTCGAAATTTCTTGAAGCTCAACAGATGACTATTGAACATCGCTAAGTCGCATCAAAACTAGAATGAAAGGATTCTGAATAACCTGGACAATAGGGAGTTTGGTGAAAGTTCCGCAAATTCCATCAGGACAAAAGTGTATGTAGGAGAACGTTTTTCCATTTATTAAATTCACAAGAAAATTCGGCATAAAATTTGGAAGTTACTGTTGTAGCAAAATTTCTGCAGTAATCATAAAAACTTTGTATGATTTGAATTAAAATTTTGGATGATTAAAAAAGAATACGAATTTCAAATGGAATATTTGTGAATTGGCTAAAGGAGTTTTGAAGAAGTGGAGGTGTAGAGGAGGGATATTAGGGTTGTGGGGGTAGTAAAGATGGTTGTATTGTGGTGACAACGTGAATTGATGATGGTATATGAAACTGGGTCGATTGCAAAAGGGAGGAGGGAGAGGACATTCTTACATTAGGTAAAACGGTGATGCGGAAGTGATTAATTCAGTGAAAGGTGTACAAAAATGTAAAAATTCTTATTCTTTTTCATATATCTATATTCCGTTCTCTGATATCCGTAACATCGGTGGAATGGAAACGTATTTAAACATTGATCATTCATTGCCACTATCCAGTATTGACCTTCTTCTTGATTTCATGTGATTTTAGATTTTCGTATACATGAATTCTCTCGGATAACAAAAGACGAATTACTTCAAAAATTTCTTCTTTAAAGAATTGACTTTATTTTGACAGAGTGAATTGGTGAGTTCACTGTCACTATGATTAAGATCGATTCAAATATCTGTCACGCCAGATAAGATCTAGCTACATAGGGCATAACTTTTCAAATAAGATACTTAATTTAAGGTCGATTCTTAATGCGAGACCGCTACTTGGCTTGCAAAATGGTTGCCGGCAATGATCGGAGAAGAGCTCTTATGTATGACATAAGAGGTTAACATAGTCTTGTCCTTGTATCGACAATTCTTTGTCACTGATAAAGGTACATTTGAAATCCGCTTACTAATATCACTGTTCATGATTACTTGCAGCAATCGTAGTTGAGTTTGTTATCCCCAATTTCATAAATTTGATTAGATCTGTGCATTTTAGAAGAATTTTGTGTTTCTGGAAAAAGCAGAACCCAAAATTTGAATGGTTTTTCTTTTTCTGAAAAATACGAAAAGAAATTGTTGCATAGTAAAATCATGAATTACCTGTTTCAACTGTTAAGTTAAATAGTTTTGTCAGGTACTTTAAGGAAGTTTAGTGAAATGAGCTAGTGGTGCATTTTAGAGCTTCATGTATTTGCTTTTCATCTACCTCATTCCTTGAGGTGTTTTTTGAACTCCACAAAATGAGCAAGCAGATATTAGATTAAGCTCAAAATCTGATGAATTCATTCTGTGATAATTCATGAAAGAGATCTGTTCATTTCATCTGCCTCGGCATTCTAATTGCAAAATCAACAGCACACCTTTCTAGAAGAGACAGAGATTTCTAGAAGAAGATCATCTCTTAAAATCATAAAACTAATGACCATAGAACAAAAATGCTTTCTTGCTGCATTCATTTTCTCTTGGATTTTTCTCGACGAAGTGCTTTATATCGTACGAAATTAGTGTAATATCCAAAAACAAACAGGTTCCAAACAAAGACTTTCCTTTCCTACCCACATATCTTTCCCTTCTGATCGAAAAAATTATATGCATATGTGCCATTCTGGTAAATATCTATACATTTCACGCCGCATAATTTCAATAAAAATTCTTGCTGGAATGATAGAATAATCTTCCCCTCTCACTTCTGATTATCATATCTCTGTACAAGCTTATTTCAAATAATTCTTTATGTAAACATAGTGGAGCCTTTCCAGAATCTTATGAGACCTTTCAGTTTAGGCAAAGTTTTCACTTAATTTTTTGTGTGACACTATCAAAAGTCTAGATTTATAGTTTGACAAGGCAACATCCGATGCCATATTTTATAAATTAAAGAAGGAAAATTACTTTAAGAACCCAAAAAGCTCGGCTTTATTTTTAAAGATTTTATAAGACTGAAATAGCCGCCAGATATTTTGTTAGAGTAGGAAACCTGAAGAGTTGTGCGATAGAAACTAGGCAGAATTAACAAGTATATAAGCAGGATTAATTATCATCACCGAATTCCAATTTCTTTTGTCCATAAAACGTTAATCAAGGCAATAATAAGATCAAAGATCAATGTGGACAGATAAAAGATTTACTTACAATAATAAATTGGTATAATAAGAGTGGTGACAGTAATGATACCGGTTGCACATGTTCAGGAAACTTTGTTATCCACTTTTTTTTTTTTTTGTTTTCACATACAACGGACATTTCTCTATTTTGTTATAGCTCGCTATTGATCAAAACCTTAATTATTGACGAAATTTCCAAACTACACGACTTACCACGAGAAATTACTTTTCCATTTGATTAGTAAATTAATATTTTAAAAATCCCGAAAAAGTTGGAGAAGTTTAAAATTCGAAAAGATTTAATAAGCTTGCAAACGACAAAGGAAAAATGAAGTGAAGCGAAAAATGAAGTGAAAAATGAATATTTCTGCATACATGTGCATAAGCAAAAATGAGGGAGATAAATAGCAACAAAATGGTAATGGAAATAAGTTGAAAGGAAAATTTCGGACACGACAACTCGAAATTGGGTCATCACTGGACAGATATTGGCGGAGAGTGTGGATTAATGCACATAAGTAAACGGATGAGCATTTATTTTTCATCTATTTATCCCTGCTTGGATCGAATAGTACTGTCGGAAAATATAGCTGGTCTGAGAGTAGTTTGTTTCCCTATCAACACTAGTACTTCCGTCGTTTTTATCACTCCCGTTTCACTTGTTCTATCATTCAATATTTTGTATCCAAAATAAATGGGGTGATAACCCCCGTTATTCAATGCAAAATGGTGACAATAACAAATGATGGCAATACTAGTAATAAGAATAATAGCAGTAACAAAATGAGATAAATGAAAAACACTGTCATACTAATTTTTAGATCCTAACTTCCGGTCAAAAACTGCAAAACTTTAGTTCAAACCGCTTAATTAATTGTACATGATTTGCTATTTAGCTATTTAGATATATAATATTTGTTTCTCCATCACTGATCCACTTAAAGAACAGAACATCAGTTCTTCAGTCCCAGATTGGAACTACATAATAAGATTCTAAAAGCCCTATTCGAAATATCTGGTGGATCAATATGCTTACCATTATAAACAAAACAGTAAAAAGAACACTGGAGCTTGAAGAAATGAATTTCCAGTAAAAAAGAGACTAATATACTATTCTCTCAAGAATAAATATTGGAAAATTTCAACAATGCAGCACATGCGATTCCCTCATATACCTTTGAAAACCACTCTAAAATTTTCACTTAATGATGATAATTTTGCATGATGTATCTGATTTCTACCTGCTACAAAAATATTCTCATAGAGACAGTGCATTATTACGAAAAAAAAAAAAGTTTATTAAGAGTGGGGAAGATTGGTAAGTCTAAGCAACAGATTGATTAAAGTCAATGATATGATGATTGATTGGCTTTTTTTCTAAAAGTCCAAGTACGGTTTCGGCTTTTTAAATCACTGCTAAAAGACTTTTACATTGAATACTCCAAAAACTATGTTTGAAGACATGTAAAAATACTCTCTATTATGGTAAATAGTTCAGACTGGAAATCATATCATTTAGTAAATATCTGAAATAGTCACTATCTAGTTGCTGCAAACAGTATGCAAAATTCTAACGTCAACTAACAACAACCAATTTATTAGTGAATGAGATAGAAATTTGAACAAATTGAAATGGAATATATAAACCTGATGGATACTATAAATTAAGCAGATCAAACAGGTATTTTATCCGTACATCTTCGATCATCAATGTTTTGGTACCCTAGCAAGCATTCGCACTTGAACGAGCCAAGCAAATTTATACACAGAAAGATATCCCAGAAAAAGAACTACCAAGCTGAAACGTATACTGATTTGTCGTATTTGTCTTTTCGAATCTTTTTTTTTCCAAATATTGTGCATTCTGTTGCGGTATTAACAATTTCGTACTTGAGTAGATGGGCTAAGAATTGAAAATCCTGGATTAAATCCATTTTCTGACTAAACAAACCTTACATCCTCTCTCTCTCTCTCTTCTGTTTTTGTTCCTTTTTTTATTTAGTATAAGAATGATAACCTGTTCACGAGCACTATCATTCCATGCGCATTCATTAATATCATGACATATTGTTCCATTTCCAAAAAATCCCTACAAATCAAGTATAATAATTTCCAATTTTGAAGTGAATAATCTTTCGTGATTTTTTCAAAATTAGATCTATGAAATTTGGATAATTTCTTTGCTGGGAAATGAAGTGCTCAGAAAATGAAATAACGATGAGGACCATTCTGAATCGGCATTCCGCTTCGTAATTGCTGTTGTTGTAAAGGGGTTCGGATCACAACGATTAGCTCCTTTGCAAAAGTCGGTGTTGATACATACTGGACAGTACTGATTGGATGGTATTTCTTGCTTGTCGTAATCTAACTTCATATATTTATCGGATTCTCTGAAATTGAGGAAAAAGACATTTCAATTTACTATGACAAAAAATTTATTGTCACTTTATATCCTACTGTTTCATGATGAGAAATATTCGTCTGAAGGACCACTCTACATCAAATATTGTCACCAATCTGGTTGATGACCTTCCTGATGATCGATCGTATTGAGTAGATTAGAATTGTGGAAATAAGCTTATACTTTTTTATAATTTTCCAAAATCATTATAGTAAAAAAAATAATTAGATGAAGGATAATGGAAACGATCAAAAATTGACAATCCATACTACCATTACCACATACACCAGTTTTAGGCCAGTATTGTTGACCATTTTGCCATCTGTGCCCATTGTAGAAACACTAAGAATAGTGAGCCGTGTAACATGAAAACTTGGAACAAATGCCATAGTAATCAAGTTACTGTAAACTTCAGATCAATTTTTTAAAGCTTTAAGTTCATAATATAATTTACTGTATTATAATTTAACCTCTTTAGTCCGGAAGGTGAAACACGATGTTTGCATTTTAAAATAGCACAACTGACTCATCCACGGGTTATTCCACCATGTGGTGTACAAATGTATTCCATACATACAATATTGTTGCCATGTTTCTCCCCTATTATTACCAACTTGTTATCGATCTAAATCACTTCTAATATAGTTCTTCAATTTAAATCCTGCAATTTATGATTCAATTTTGGTATTCTTTATTATAAAAAAAATGGAATTAATTTGTTAAGAAAATCATCTTAAAATAGAGAAAGAAGAATTACTTGATAGAGAAAGAAAAAACAAACATTGTATTATATTTGATTATCCAATTTTTCAAAATCTAATTTAAAAATTTTTTGATCCCAGTTTAAATACGATTAACTCAAAAATTGAATTTGATAACCCCTTTGATGCTTTAATGAAATGCAGCTTTGGTTATGCACATTTATTACTTCTAGCCATTTGCTTACATTCGCTTCCAAATCAAACAAGCGATCCTGGATTTCTTCCATCATCAAATTTATATTTTTTAATCGTTATAGTGTAATGCCGAGTTAATAATTTTCAAATGTAACAATTATAGTATTTCAGAAGTTGTTAAAATGTTACTGTTAGAATATTTTTTAAATGAAGAAAGATAAGTTGTCTATCGCATTATTTTCCAATATGACCTTCTCATCTTCTCTCTGTTAATCATTAAATATCACAAACTTGAATAAAAGCAGAAAGCATATCATTCCTTCTGCAATTTCATTATTCCAGAATTCTGAAGTTGAGCAGTACCAGTTAAACCGTTCTTTAGTTCAACCTTAAATCGGCCAGACGTGACTCAACCTGCAAATATTTTTCGCTTTTCGGAATTCCAATGATATCTCAGGAATTTTACAGCTATACACGGCTGGCTTCTAAAATTTGCAAAGGTTTTAGCTACCTTAGGATCTCAGGCTTGAGTTTTGACATATTGGACTCTAAATCATTTTTAAGGCTTAATGTTAAATATAACATTTATTTTTTCATTAGTACCGTTTCATTTATATTAGCACAGTTTTATAGAAAGTTGAATAAGTCCACTGATCTCTTTCTGACTAAAAGTATAAAAATAAAGTTAGAAGAGAGAATTTTCCATTTTCACCTCAGCTTATTCTCATCTTTATCCAGCCCTTTGCCTTTTCTGTTTTCCTTTATTTTGTTGTTCAATCGGATGACAGTTCAAAAATAATTCCATCACACTTCCGTTCAATGTAAGAATAATTTAATTCTAACCGTTGAGGTCCAATGGCAAATAATTGTTTAATATTTGTGAGTGACATCTTCATAACAACTTACAAACAAATTTCAGAACTTGAAACTTACTTCCAAATCTAAGTCAGAGAGATCAGTTATTAGTTAATAAGCTATGCATAAATTTTTTCACATTTAATCTTTTAGTTATCACCTTCTACAAATTCATATTTTGCATTCAAACTTTAAAGTCCTTTGTTGTATCCCAAATTAAAAAAGTGAATTCTAAACGGAAGATTGTCTACAACCGAAAAAGAAATTTTATTAACTTTTTGTTTTATGATTTACCAAAATTTTGCTGGCTTTTGAAATGAAATTTTTGAATCGCATTTTCCTGCACGAAGAATACTGTTATCCCAAGTATGTTACCGAAAAATTGTTTTTTTTTGATCAATACTTGATCAAATTTAGTTGATAACTCGATCGCCAGGAACAAATTATGGAATGTTCGATTATCGCACGTAGCAAAAAGTACGGCGTTTGTTTGTTGAAATTCCAAAGGTAGCAGACGTTCTATGTTGGAATATGGCGCCAAAAAAATTTCACCCTGTTTGGTCAGCTGATATATTCTACGAATTAAATGAATTGATTTAGAATATCTCTAATTATTTTAGGATCCACAATCGGGTCGTTTTTAACGATTTTCGTAAATCCTGATTCTAAACTCCCTTGAATCTTATGACAAAAAGTTTATAAAATATTTTTTCATTTTTGGCAAATTTTTACGATCCCAGAATAACATAATGGTTTCAAACTGAAAAGGGAATACTGTATTTCATTTGACATATAACGTCCTTTTTGATTTCGATTTTCTCGTAAGTGCTGATCGCAACACTTATATCCATCCTATAATTAAATATTTTTTTAAATCCATTATTATGATCTTGGCAAATAATGTTTGCCTTTTAAAAGTTCCGTTAGTTATTGAATCTTGTCCTGTAATTTGGGATTGCAAAGCCTATTAGAGATTATAAAACACAGTTTGAATCCTTTGGATTATCCGAGATATTTCTTTCCATAGATGACTAATGCATACTGAAAACAAATTTTAAGAACGATTAGGCTAAATATGAATTTATTTAGAATAAATTTTGCCATTGGCATGAATTACATAAGCAGAATTTTTATAGAGAAGGTTTCTTACAGCAATTTCGTGTTACATTTCTTCACAACTTTTCACTTATTAAAGATTTCGTCAGTAAATACCTTACTTTTCGGTATCCATTTGCAAAATGTTTCAGTACTACCAACGTGGCGTAAGGAAATTCACTAAGCAAATGACGTAATAAATTTTCATCGTAAAAAACGAGCAATATTAATTTTTAAAAATGTTAAACGAATAAGTTTTAAAACCACATCAATAAAAATATTGAAATAAAAAATTTGAAGGGAAGAGAAATCCCCTAATATGTAAAAATGATTAAATAATATCTCGCAACATATGGAAGATGGAACCAAGGAAGAGGATAGATAGGGAAAAAGAAAGGTAAAGGAGGCGGAGAAGAAAACTACTCGAAAGCCTGAAGATACGAATGATTGTTAAATATCTTCAGTACACACAAGGCACTTTATTGGATTGGACTGAATAACGTCTACTAACAAGCTGCTGATTTCTGTTTCAAAACTGTCATATTTCGTTTGCAGGTTGCATATTCTAATCATTCGCAATGAATGATAATAATATCAACTTTTAGATAAGAGGCGAAACAGTTTGAGCACATTCAGACATGCAAATTGCAACATTAAATGGAAGCAATTTTACGTATCAGATTCTCAAAATTGTGAAACCAAAGAATAAGTGCTTCTGATCATACTTTTTCTTGTATTTATGGAAAAGAAAGAACCATCAGTTTCTTTTCAAAAAACGGTCATATATACAATGGAAATAGCAGATGAAACAAGTTTGACGTATCGTTGATTTAGGTATTCCAGATTTCAATTATCGCAAAATACGTCCTTGTGCTTGAATTTTCTTTTTTTTTATTAGCTATATATATATTCTCATGGATAGTTTTTTCATGAACATTATATCCAGCAAGAAAATTGCCATTTCGAATCCTCAAGTAATTCTTCTGAACAAGCATGCTTGCTTTCTTTCGCCATCGTTTAAATCCATATTTTTCATGATTAATCATCTGCTTTTCCCCTTTTCCCCAATTACTTTGCTTATTTAACCACGGTATAACATCGTCAAAATATGATCGAAGATGTCAACATTTTAAGAATCTAGTAAACATGTTTAAATATTTTAAATTTTCAAAATGTTTATACACATGGGAATATGTTGTAGTACGTCAGCCATTCAAATTCACATTAACCTTACTATGCACAGCATCAAAGAGAATGAGAATCGAGTAATTTCAATGAATCCCTGAGAGAGTTTGATAACACTGACAAGGAATCAATAAGTGGCCATATACTGCATACATTTTGCACACGCTTTGCTTGTTGTCGCATAAGATTTCGAATTCGAGTTTTCGATAATATTAGTAAAGTAGGTACCTGGAAATTAGCATCATTATTTAAACAATATGAAAACTGCTGATCGGTTTATGAGCAATTGATCAACTATGATAATTTGCATATCATTTTCTTCTCCGCATATAAATGTCACTCGAACGTGCTTCTTTATCTTGGCTCATTTCCCAATAGATTCATTAGTTAAATAAGTGAAATCATTTATTCATAAAAACACAGTGAAGTAGAAGCTTACCACTGAATGGGTCTTATTGATAACAGCCGCTAAAGCACAATTCTGGCCACCAATTTTATCCATCCTTCCTCGTTGATCTGATTTATCTTGCAACACATTTCGAATTCTAAATTCCTCATGAAATGTTCGGAATTCATGAATTTTTTAATTTCTACCATTACTTGACAAAATTAACCAATCAACTACATGTCCTAGGTGATGCAATTGACATAATTCAAATTATTTGGTTTCCATTGTTTCCTTTAAGGAAAGGATTGCAATCGATTATTGAACCAAATATTCAATACGAGAATAGGAATTTGTTCTCAGTATTTTATTTCAACCGTTCTTTCATGTGTTTACTGATCGGTGATCCCTCTTCGATCAGTCGCTCAATGGTTGGTATAGAAGCACTGCTCTCAGCAAAATCTAACGGGAGGCGACGTTTAAAATCAGAAGCATGCACATTAGCGCCATGAGCAATAAGTAGCATAGCAATCTGTTCACGACCTAAATAAAGTATTGTAAAAAGCTGCAGAACGATATGAAACTTTGAACCGAAAAATGAAAAAGGAAAGTTAAAAGAAAAAAAAGTGAAATGGCAATAACGTTTGTTTGTTTGTTTTGAACGAAACGTTCAATTCGATATTTGAAAAGTATATTTACATATAATACATCTCCCATATTTTCAATACTCTTTTTAAATTCGTCTCTGAATGAATATATCTCGTTCCATGAATATAACTCGACCTGGTCTGCTAAGAAAATAAGTATAGTTATCGCCTTTTTCCCGATACAAGGCACTGTTATGTTTATGTTGAATGATACATTTTGTGTTCTATCAATTGATAAATTCTATTTGGTTTCGGGACATTTTAAATATCAAAACCAAGAAATGTGACTCAACCCGAAATAGTACAAGCATATACATGATTCAACTAACAGTCAAATGAATTTTTGAATAACAGAGCAAACTAAAACCAGTAATATTCCTGCATGCGAAGTGCAAAGGAGTTTGTCCGCTACAATCAGGAATATCCAAATTAGCTCCAAAAGCAATGAGCAGGTTGCAAATGTTAAAACACCGTTCTTTTGTCGCAATATATAATGGTGTACGATTATCTGATACTGTCACATTAGGGTCTGCTCCATACATCTGCAAATGGGCAACTTATGCAAACCATAACTTTGTTCAACTTCAAATACAAATTTTAAATTAATGAATTAGTTTTCGGAATCACTTTGGAATCTGATGAAAATGCTGAAAACTGGTGTCGAAAATTAATTTCATTAAAACTAAATAGAAATCAAACTGAAAATCAATGTCTTAGCAAAAATCTTAACTTTAGATTTACTGAGAGAAGATATTATTTAATTAAGTCTTTACTTAATGAAATTTCGCACAATTTAATAACTAATTGAACCAAATTTTAGGAATGAATTGACTTTTAAAATTACAACTCGGACAAAGGGAAAGATGTAGCTGTTTTCATATCATAAATTCAAATTTTCCTGAATGCCTAATAAGACTTTGTTCATCCGATAACCCTGATAAGCGTATCACAATGTTAGGATCAAAGAATATCCTAATTGCGCTTTTGTTAATTAAAAACCATTCAAACGGTTTTTCATTTAGCTGCTAATGAAATTTGTTTCTGGAGAATTCAGGTAGTCTTATTCAGATGCTATTTGAGAAAGCGAACCAGGAGTAGCTCAGTGATGGCGTAATTATGAAGTCGAACAGCTGTGTAAAGAGGTGTTTCAAGTCGACCGCTCTCATCAGATGAGAGTTTGTTTAGTTCACAGTTATAGTCTAACAATATCCGAACAATCGGCTCGCTTTGATTTAGGACGGCTAGCGAAAGGGCAGAAGTGCGCATCAAATTTGAATTGATATTCAAACTTTGATGACGCTGCAATGTGTACAGGACCTAAATAAAAATTGTAAATTTCAGCAATCAATAAGATTGCATATTCTGATGTTGCTTTCTTCATAATTATCCGAAAAATATGTTAACTCACCAATCTAGGCTTATTTGCCCTAATTGCTATATGGAGCTCATTCAGAGCATCCCATTTTCGGTAATTTTGAATCATAAATCCTTCTTTAACAGGTACATCAAATAATACGCAAACTTTCAACGATTAAATTTCTGCAAGTATGATATATCTAGATGTTTTAGTAAGAAAATGTCGCACAGATAAAAATATTTGAAATATAAACATTTGATACACTTGAAATTTATGTTTTTAATTAAAAAGCATATTGTGGAAAGCTTGATCATCCTGTTTCACCTTTGACTTCGCTGTCTTTCACGTGAATAAGTTTTTCTCACCTGTGAATCCTAGCAGTCTGGCAGCTAAATTATTTAGCAGAATGCAATCAATGTATGACTACACTCAACGTTATATCAGAAGACATCAAACACGGAGAATGATCGGAAAGATTTGACAATCGTTTTAAAATGTAACAAAGTTCCGAAACTGACTACACTCAAAGTATTATTTCTAGTGTGTGTGTGTGTGTGTGTGTGTGTGTGTGTGTGTGTGTGTGTGTGTGTGTGTGTGTGTGTGTGTGTGTGTGTG